ATAAAAATTCTACCTCCTTGCTAATGTATGTTGTTTTCGTCAAAATAATTGTGAAGTACAAGAGCATAGTTAACGATATATATAACTTTCATCACCAAATTTAATTATCCTTGAAACCCTTATTCTATACGTGAAACGAATCTGCTTCAGACTCTACATTTTCATTTGAAGAGGAATATTGCAAAGCATGAGCAATTGTAGAAACTTGCAGTTTTTCTGTTTTACGGCACTAGCGATCGTCTTTCACGTCCGTTTTGAATATACAAAAAAAACAAAAATAAAAAAGCAAGTGCTGCTATTAAACAGTCATAGTTCTTTCAAGTATAAAATTTCCAGTGCAACACAGGAGAAAACAATGAACATGTAGTCACATCCGTCGAGATACAAGAATAAATACTAAATACAGTAAGTATACAATCGTTACGCAGGAATACACTGACCGTTACTGGGATGTGAGCAGGCATGCTCATTTCCTTTTATTTTTCGTTGGCCTTTGAGCCGTTCATTTTTCCTGCTTCTACAAGTCGCAGTTACTGTGAACTCACAGCGCAATAAACGATTAAATTAAAAATGTTAATCAAACTAGAGTTATAGATTATACATAATATAATTAAGGTAAAAAGAAACTAGTCATATTGATATAGCAAAATATATTTTCATATTAAGAAGACAAACTTTATATCCATCTAAATTTATTTCAATCAGAAAAGTTATTAAGAATTTTAAATTTTATTTTTGTTGAAAAATTATTCTATATAAGTATCATAAGTAATATTTAAAAAATTGATCCAATTTCCTTTTAACATCCACATCCAAAACATCCACATGGTACTGTTTTGTACACTCGATCAATAAGCATCGAAAATTACATGTTGGGAAGGAAATATATAAAATCTGCCCACTTATATTCTACACAATGAAGAAGAAAGATACATAATATGAAAAGGAAGAAGGGTAATGCACGTAGCATATATAGCGTATTTTACAGCTTATAGAAAAACTTCGAAAAACTGAGAGAACACAAGTATGAAGAAAAAAGGGTTCGATAACTAATAATGCAGACTACTATTTTATCCAGAGAAAATGTTTGTACAGAAAAACTTTAATTTTAATTTTGATATATCGATTTAATCTATAATAATTTTACTAAAAGAATTATAAATTTAATCTAATTAAAGAAATTTATTCTGCGTGTAATATTCTAATATTCCAAGTATAATAAGTATTAATAATATTAAAATTTTTCTCGCGATTCTTTTTGTTATAAGAGAATGAAAATACAATATTCTTTGTGGCATCTCAAGATAAATCTTACGTTTTTGCATGACAACTGGAGCCGTCAAATATTATTCATAAGTTCTTCGAAGATAACTTTTAAATTATTAATTGTAATTGATATGCTTCTACCATTCATACTCTGTAGATATCTATCAGTCCACGCTGTGTTCACGCAATATTTCAAAAAATATGTAACTGTTGTAAATGCATTAGTTGGTAAGTTTACATTATATTATAAATTTATTTAAAAATTGTAAATAAATTTAATGAAATTATCGAAGTATAGAAGTGAATATTGATATTATTATTGTTGTTATTATTGCTATTGTTGCTATTATTATAATATATCAAAAAATTCTTCTACTTTAAATTTAAATTTAAATTTAAATTGTACATACTCTCTTAAAACCATTACATAAACTTCGGCATCTTTAATAAAAAAATTGAAAATACTCCGAATATTTTTAATTATTGTGACTATATGTTACAAACTTATAAGACTCACATTATAAACTAATTGGATAATACGTGATACTGGTCTTATAGACAATGCATGCATAATTTTCACACGTTAATCATCGAGGGTTTCGATTATCTGTTCTTAGGTATAAATGTTGCTTTCTGGAAAATTTTCTGAAATATAGTGTCTATGTTAAAATGAATAATTGGACTGTGACCCACATTTCGTAATATAATAATCCTCATTGATTTATGCATCTAATATGAAGCACCCGTTCGTTTTAGTTACTATTTTACTTAATTTACTAATTCTTATTATATAAAGTATTTACGGTTACATGAGGTCTACCTACAGTCAATAAAGCTTTAATAAACATTCCATTTGCTTATTATAAATTATGTTCTTTAATGGAATATGAATTTTTTAATAATGATTTTTTAGAAATATGAAATAAGCAAAAGGTACTAGCAGTGTTTTTTAACAAAGAGCTTAAGAACATTTTCACCTTAATAATTTATAAAATCTATTTGCAAATATAAAAATTAAATAGTTATAACTTACAATCATTTATATTTAAAAATAAGAAATTATATTATTATATTATATTAAACACTATCTTCAATATAAATATATTACGTATACATTTAAATACAAAATATATACGATTGTAGTTTAAAAAATAATTTTTATAATGGGATGAAGTTTAATAGACATATTAAAATATGTACAACGTTAACTTATTAGTACAATACATAAATATAACAACTTTTATAAAATACTAAAGCAAGAATATTTCTTGATAAACGAAAGGTAATAAATACAGCTAATATAAAATAAAACTTGTGCTTTGCGAAAAGGACTAAACTACAAAATCGGAAATAATTCATAATTTACGGACAGAGAATTATAGTGTCGCGTTTTGTTTTTCTCTGCTACAAAACTTTATTATAATAATTGCCGAAAAGATGGTTGTGACGTTGTACTCACATGTTTACGAGCGAGCGTACAGCCTAGAGAGCCATAATATTATTTCTTATATAGGAGCAATGCACGAACAGGAAAAATGAAATAAAAATGAATGTGTATGTGTGTATTGTAGTTTTTCTTATTTTTTTTGTATATTAATTATACAATATGGTGTATAGTCAAAAGATAACTCATACACGAATTTAAGTAATTTATCGCGTACTTGTTTGCATTTGAATTTTGTTTAAAACTTCGTAATTTATAATAAAATGTAGTTTTTTAAAATAATATAGAGTTACTAACAAAATTATAGTTAGAAAAATAAATCAAACTAATTGGTTTGATTTTTAAAATATAAAGATGAATTTGTTTAAGTACTTCTCAATTATAATAGAAATTAATATAAATCAATTGATTTATGTAAAGTTTAATATAATGTATGATTTTCATACGTTATAATCTATTGTAGATTCAAATTTTTGTAAAAATAAATAAATGTTTTCTTATAAATCTAATAACTTTGTGTTAGCCCCATATAACGTGAATCCAATTTATCTACCTTCCTTTAATGATTGAGATTCGATCTCCAAGCAAATTATAGTAAAACGTAAAAAGAAATAGATTTCTGTGACATCGTGCTGCAAAAATGAACAATAATATGATAAGTCAATAAGACGGAGTACCAACGACAAAGTTAACATCCAAGGAAAAGGCAAGTTTTTAATACATTTTGAATAAAATAGAAAAAAGATAGCAGTCGCCCGACCTTTGTGAAGAATGTCTATAACCAGACGAGAAGTCGGTGAAGACGCCCTGCAAATAAGAATACGAGAGCGCAATGAACCATAGAAGTTGGAGCGTAATACGGCTTGTATTATGTTCAGCAGCTTGAATTCGCAAAAGCGCCTAATGGCTGCACCAAGCTTGCTTTAGCTTGTTCTTGCTCCAATGCCTTGCTTTAATCGCTTTGATGAGTTTTATTGGCCATTTACTTTTATCGGAAACCTCGGAAGACAAGGTAGCTGGTGGTGCACTTTGTACAAACACATTATGGACACTGAGCTCTGTGCATTAAAATTACGAGATTGTGTGAATATGTCGATGGTACCTCTATGTCAACTAAATTGTTCGTTTTCCAATTACTTTTTGTTTTTCGAACGTACATTTTAGAACATGCTAACTTACACTGTCTATGCATTCAATTATCTTCTCTCTCTCTCTCTCTCACTCTTTATCTCATTATCTCGACGGCTCTTTGATAATTCATAGTTAAAGAATAAAGAATTTAAAGGAGTGTTCACAATCCATAATTATTTATTGAAGACTTTTTAACAACACACGTTTAAATCATTTATGTGAATAATAAATAAATTGACGTATTCATAATAGTATTTATACTTTTTTTTTTTAATGAAAATTCATTATTATCACGATTGAGTAATAACTGTAAATATGCTAAAATAAAAACATCTATTTTTGACAGCATGTACGTAAAAATCGATATTGATTTAAACAAATATGATACTTCCTCAGAGATAATTTTTTATTTGAGATACTTAAGATAATTGAACTATCTAAAAATGAGTATAACAATACAATTTTAACGACTTGTCAAAATGCGTTTCTTTTTGCAAGTACTTTATGGATACAAATATTGAAACAGCAACTCTACACCTATGATATATAATAACTCTACAATAATTAATATTTGTCAAATATACTATAATTATTAGAACCATAATTCTTTATTTATTTATACACTAATTTTATAGAAAAATCTTATATTTTCACAAGTATTGGTATTAAAATTATTTTAACACGTTTTACGTAAGAAAATTAATTCTATTTTATCAAGAATTTATCAATTGATTTATCAATATTGATCAAGAATAGATTTTATAGAAAAGAATTGTTTAGTATTTAATTGTATAGTATACAGATTTTGTATATCATTTAATACTAATTATTTTGATTCTAAATATTCTAACATTATAATTAGGGATTACAATTCTTACATTCATTATTTATTGAAATTAACAATCATTGATTAAACTTAATTTCATTAATGTTATAATAAAAATTGAATAAAGCTTATGGATTTAAAAATTCGAAGTACAATAAAAAATCAAATTATAATATTATGAGGATAAATACAGAATGTATAATTTTATACAGTTTGGGAACTTGTCTAAGTGATTTCATCACCTTGCAAATTTAGAAACGAATTGAGTGGAAGAGTTAAGATTGACAGACGCAATCAATTATCAAGATAACATAAGAAGAAATGTGAGCTTACCATCAGGCGTCGTAACAGTGCCAGCCTTGTTGATTTTGGAGTTCCACATTGCAGGAGTCGTAGGAGCCGGACTGAGATCAGGAGTAGGCGGATGGACAGGTGGTACATTCGCCAATCCTGAGCCTATATGAGCGCTGCTAGTATTGTGCGACTGCTGCTGCTGCTGCTGTTGCTGCTGCTGCTGCTGCTGCTGCTGCTGCTGCTGCTGTTGCTGATGTTGCTGTTGGATATGCTCAGTACTATTGACGTAGTTGCCTGAGTCAAAACTTCCACGGCCGCATGTGTACATTTCTCCTGTGAGTCGTTCCGCCAGTTTGTCAACCCGCTCACGATCGCCCAGCGATATTGGTTCTTGCTTTATTCGGAGATCTATAAAAATTATCCAATGTACATTATGAATTATTTGATGATATTAATCATGTCATTTTTTTCGATGAAATAATGCAATTACTTCTTCTTTCCGATTTAAAAATTATTTAATTAAGCGACCACGACCCTAAAATTTACTGGGCATTATTATATTCTCTATTAAATACAATTTTGAAAAGGCAAATCTTTGAAAAAAATACGATGGCCATAAAAACCACCTTTGCGAAATTTCTAATTTAGAGGCGGTATATTATTTAATCTCTTTTTCTACTATGGTCAACTTATGCGTATGAGTGTTCAGCTCTTCAAGGACATCACGTGAAAGCATTCATCAATGATTGGTGTGTTCACCAAACATTCACCATACTAATACTCGTTAATAATAAAATCAATCAAAAAATAAAATTAATTAATAAAATCGAATCAATCAATTAATCTTTTACTATTATGAAATATATATAATCTAAGAAGAGCAACATTTTAAAACCGAAAACGTCGATCGTTACAAGTATACAGACTTTAGATTTTAGAAAGTACACAGGGTCTTTCTTTCTTTTTCAGAACTAACTGGTTAGAAAAAACTACGAGTAATAAAGCATTGATACATATATTTACTCGCCTTCGGCAACGCCGTCTTTGATATCGACGCTACGTTCGGGCTCCTCGGACCGTTCGCGCTCCAGCTCCCGTTCCAGCTCCGTAGGCGTATGTGGCGCCGTGTGTGAATGTGTTGGCGTCTCCAAGGGATGATTGAAAGGCTGGTAAAGAGGGTTTTCAAGGAGCAGTGGATGAGGCGCTGAAGCCGGACGGAAAGCTGCACCGTCACGTAGAACAGAGGCCCTACCGAGGCTATCGACGTCGCTTGGCGACCTGGTGACAGTTCGCGGATACATATCTTATCGTCATATTCAAAGCGCTTGAACGATCGAATTGAATAGATTTTTTATTTATATCAAAATATTATCAGGGTGTTGAGATATATTATTTTGTCGCTGTTGTCTTTCATCTGATCATTTTTCGAATGGTGATTATTTATCTAGTTATTTGATTCACTAAAATGTTATAATAACAACTTTTCTTATTATTGATATTAACTGATTTTTCTTAAATTATTAGATTTAAATAATTAAATGCTTCAAAACAAATTTTTTAAAACATGTTCGGCAGCGTAAAATTTTTCATTAAAAAAACAAAAAAAAAACATATTTATTAAAAGTTTATCTATAGATTTATCTAAAAGTTATATTTATTAATTATATTCAATTTTTAATTTTCTCGATTTAGGTTGCTTAATACATTCCATAGAAAGTTTTTATAAACAAAATTATATCGATTAACAACGTAACGTGTATTATTCTTTAGACATTAAAATTAAAGAAGTCCAAATTTTATTTGACTAACTAGTACTTTCATTTTGCAATCTAATTATTTCAGAATATATTGATTGAAAATAACATTCTTTGAAATAATGATTTTTTTACATAATTTTCTAACAATAAAATCCATTAATCGCGCATGAATATTTAATGAATGATTATCAAATATAAAATTAAATCAGTGACACAAATATATTTATATTCCATTTCAAATATAACCGATTTATTTAATGACTACAGATTCTTAATTAAAGAAAATGAAATATGTTAAAAAGTTTATGATAAATCGTATTATTTTTATGTTGACAAATTTTGGCAGTTATTTTTGTAATAGGTAACATAGAGAAAAAAAGTTAATACACCATTTTTTTTTTATTAAAAAAAAAAGTCTAAAATGCGAAATTACTGTAAATTATATTACATACGTACATATTCAACTCTTTCGCATGCAATAAACCGATGGATACAGCGAGCTTAATAAAAAATAAAATTAGAAATAACAAATAACTGGCGGGTGAAGTGTTAAATTAGTGGAAGAGGTATAGAGAATAATGGAAGGATAGGATCATTTGCGTTCGGGATTAAAATTACGTGTGCTTACCTCATTAGCCTTTTCTGTGGGCTGTCGTAATAATGCGTAGCGGAGTAAACGTTGGGTAAGGAGTAGGTGGGTGCGGGCGAAGGCGGGGCAGGCGTCGGAGTTCTTCTTTTCATGCCCCGTGCCAGGCCATTTTCAGGTGTTTCGGACGCTTCGGCGACGTTGCCGTTGATATTGTTGCTGGCCGCACCGTTGCTATTGCCGCCACTGCCGGCCTCTGACAGTGAATTATTGTTCTCAGCCGCGTGCCTCTGAGCCACTGCTAGCTTCTCGTGCTCTATCGACAAGCCCTTCACCTGCGCAATCGCCCAGAAACAAAGAGAAGAGAAATTAGGATCAGCGAGCGTTCGATGACCCCTGTACGCTCTGTAGCACACGCGTAAAGTTTTCAAATGGCTCGGCGACGCTGCCTCGGTGATTCCAGGAATTCCCTTTTAATCGTTCGTTTCGAGGCCCTTTTCCATATAATTCATTCCCTTTTCTGCTAATATATACGCATACTATGTACCCTGCCCTGCCCTGCTCTACTGCACGAATACGCATGACCGAATTGGCACCTTATTCGAAAATGATTGTCATTTGACTACAGTCGACCATGATTATTTTTCAAGATGCAGGCTTACCTGCAGGCACTCAGCAGCCTTGAGAAAAGAACTTAATGACTCCTGGGATACATGAACCTCGCCACGATACATGAATTCGAGGAGTGCTGCCATATTGTTAGCACTTGTACCGTCAAGGATGACGATCAAACCCGCTGGTGATGGTGGCATGCCCTCGAACAACTCTTGGAAATGTTTGCTACATGCTGCTAGGATGAGTCTGTGTGCTTTAAATGTAACACCTGTAATATCAAGGAAACATTGTTTCTGTTTCATTTTGTTTTTTGTTTTTTTTTTATATAAGCATATTAATATTGTCGTTTATATTTATAATTAACCCATATTTGTACCCTAGGGGTTAGTACTAATACAATAAGATGAATTAAAATCAAGTTATAACTAAAACACATTGAATAAAAAAAAAATTTAGTACTCCTACATTAAGAGCAGAGGTGAATAAATTTTTTAATATATAATTTTATAAAAGTTTATATGTAAATTATTGAAACAACTAATAATTGCACAAATTTTCTAAAACCACGTTTTTAAATAAAAGTGTTAAATTTAAAACTCGGAATAGCCTGGAAAGAAAATTCTATTTATTAATAATATAATATAATAGAAAATAATTATTTTTTATTTTATACGTTCTGCCACACAAATTTTTTATAATTTAGCAATGATCTTAAAAAAGAAAAATCAATTATAAAAAAAATACATATACCACTATAAGATAATTGGTATAATAATTTATATCTTTTTATATTATGTATATCAAATTTTATCAATAAATTTTAGCAATAAAAATTTTATATATATTTATATATTAATAGCAAATAAATTATAATTGGAGCTGTTTATTATTATATAAATAAACATACAATATATCCATATTATTTCAATAAGTGCAAAATTCATAATATAAAGTGAATTCAACACTTTTTTAAATACAATATATATTTGAAAATTAATTTAATTATATATATATATATATATGCGTGTGTGTGTGTGTGTGTGTGTATATGTTCATAATTGAATATATATAATAGTTATTTAATATAGTAGCTATTAGAATAGCTTACCATAATTTTCATCCTATACTATTGTCTTATATCATAATTCTTCCTTATTGTCATAAAACTTGCATAAATACACCTGAAACTCCTCGTTGCATACAATACAGCCATTGTTTTTTATAATAAACTTAAAAATATTAATATAAAAATACTTTTTAAACACGCTTTTTATTTTTACATTGTTTCTGGTGTATTTTATACGACCGTTATAACCCAATTTCAATTCCCTTTTATCTTGTTTGCATTGAGGTCGATTTGAAAAAAATGATATTCAATGAAAAGTTTTCTCTAGTGAATTCATGTATAACAACTGACACAGACACTGAATTAATATTGAAAGTTTACTTATTTGTCTATTGTATTATTTTCCAAATTATAACTATCTCTATTATCTTCAATTTTATTGCAATTCGAATTTTTAATAAGATAAAATGAGAGAAAAATATACAATCAACATTGAGATTGACTCAATGCATCGAATAGGAAGTTATTTTAAAAACATATATATAAATTATCAAGATAGAAACACATAAAAAAATAATAAAATCATTAATTATATAATATGTGATCGTAATCATAATATCATTTAACATTTTCCTTATTTAATATAATTGCATTTTTTCATTTAAGTTGTTCTTGTTTTTTTTTTTTAAGTAGATTAATAAAATCATAAATATAATGCAATTCGTAATGAATATTCGTACTTAGCCTAAGAATTCATTTCAATTGCATTTTAAATGAAAAAAAAAATGAACTTCTGAATTAATCATCGGACAGCAGATGGTGCATGATCTACGTGCTATCCTTTGATGCATATATAGTCTAACTTTTCCTTTACACACAAGTTTCTCACGCTGTTTTTTTGGACACACATGCAGAAAGGAACTTTGTTCCGCGGAAATTCGTGGCGGTATACAAGAACCCTTTCCTTTTTTTTCATTACTCGCTCAGCTTGTCTTTTTATCCGATACCGGCGTAGAAGCGAGACACGGACTATGCCCTTTTCTTGTTAAGTAGGCCACCTCCTTAAGTGTATGCATGGCGTCTGTTACGTAGGACGTTTCAAGAATTGACCGAGCAGGCATGAGAAACGACGATTGGTGCTCGTATAGATGCTCGTACGTACATACTTGATGAAGGTAAGACGATATATTATGCATGAACGAGTTGCTCTGTATACATACCGAGCCTCTTCATTTAACCGACATTTCCTCTACTGTTGTTGTCCTCTACTCTCGTACTTTGTTCGCTAGTAACATGCAGATGAAATTGCTGAAAGGAAAAGGCGAGGGTGCTGTCATTGAATGTATTAGCATGCTACAGCATTTATACAGCCAACAAAGTAATATGGCTTGAAGCTACTCCACCTCGACATATTGTGCCAAATAATTTCTACGTACTAATCAATGTATTTTCAATAGCGTGAATATCGAGTTTGCACTAAAAATGAATCATAGCTTTGATAATTAAAGATCAAATTTATATAATTGATTAAGTGATACTTAAACTCACTACAAAATTACAAAGTTACTAAAGCAGTAAGTACAATGTAGTTAAAAAGTTACTACAGAAAATAAAAATAGTGAAAAATTACTACGGTCCCTTTTTAAAATACGTCGAATGCCCGCTTTTTTTAAAAATAGAATTAATTATTTTAAATAATATAATTTACCTAATTATAGGTAAAATAAGTAGTAAAAAAAGAATTACTAATGTGTACATTTAAAAAAAATTTAAATAGATACTTTTAGGAGTAATACTTTATGTACCATAATCGTACTTCTGTAACATCGCTCTATACCGCTTACTATATTTTAATAAGTAATCAAGACTTTCTACTAATACGTTAAGTACACACATATTAGATGAAAGTTAAGGAAGTGACAATTAAAAAAAATCTTGAGGTTTTGATCGACATTGTGGAAGAAACAGAAAAAAGAGTAAAAAAAGTAATAAAACAGCAAGTAAACAGTTTTACCGGATATTTTTAAGTGTTCCGCCTGTTTTCTTTATAACTTGGCGAAAAACTATACAATATCATATTTGTATAGTTTTAATAATCACAATTAGAAAAACAGGAAAATAAGAATACAGGTACGATTCATTGGATATTGCATATATGAATGTTCTATTCAAGATCTAAGTTTTTGTATTAACGAATTATAAAATTCAGTAATTATAACAATTATCTTTCACAATAAAAATTGTTGAATAAAAATTTTGTTAATTTAAAATTTCATAACATAAATTGTAATGACGCCTGATTAATTAATTATAATATTCTACTTATATTTATTATTTATATACTTTAATAATATGTATTATCGTGTAAAGTTCTGTATTTAAGTCAATTAAAACATTTAATAACAATATTGCAGTATAATCAATTGGATAATTATGACTAGGTTTATTCTACTGAGTTTATAGCTATTGATACAAACTATTTAATATTTCTACTGTATGCAATATATTTTAATGTTTCTGCAGTCTCTAAATATCCGCTGCAAATATTATTAACTTGACAATACCAACACCCTATTACGTAATTAAATGTTAGATAAATTTAATCCGTTCTGAAACATATAATAAATGTTATATGAAACATCGTTAACAAAGAACGATTAAACCATGCGCGTGCATTAAATACTTCAAAAACGAACTCCTGGAAGAAGAACGACACAATACGAAGACATGAAAGAAAACTATTATTACATATTTTATTTAATATTATTATTTGAATAAAATTTAATCATCTTACTTTCATACTCTATATGCGCAGTATTATACTTCGTTACGTTACCAAAAATGAACTAGCAATTGGTACATATGATAAACTTACATGAAATAGTATTTTTAAATAGATCATATAGCAACTTAGAAACTTATTTTTAAACTGTTTATTTTAATTTGTTAGCATATATTGCATGTGTCAACTAATACGTTTACCTTGCCTCTTCCTCATTGTGTCATTAACCCAAATTTCGATGGCGCGTGCAGTGTCACCACGTTGGAATGTCTTTATCGAGCCAACGTGCAATGTGCAAATCTCGAGATTCGACAAATCTGACGATAACGTATCGAGGTGAATGCCCGTATTCACAAATACGAATGTCGTAAAATAACAAATCTTAACACTTTTTACTTTTTATAAATACAAATTTTATAAATGTCGAATATGGATCATTAATTATAGTAAACTACAAAAATTAATTAATTGTAAATAATTATTTAATAGATTTACAATCATTAAGTTTGAATTGATGTTATCTAATACTGAATGGCGGTTACAAGGCTCCATTTATTTTATATACTCGAATGTCAAGTTTATATTGTGAAAAAAGGTGTTTGTATTAAAATATAAAAAAAATTATTTACTACAATAACAAAATTATTTAAGATATAATGTTAAATGAATATTGTAAAAATACATATTTCGTAAATAGTTATTTTATGAAAAATCTAGATTTATAAAAAAATAACTCGTATAATATAATTAATTATTATAATATAATTTATTAATATATATTCCTCCAATAATATAATATAAACGTATAAAAGTGAAAATTTTGGTTTCGTTTAAAATATTTCAAATTGAATTGTCGATTGCAAAGAAAAAAGCGAAATGATAAAATAGTTAAAAATGTCAAGAATTACTAAAAAAGCATTTGCAATGCCTTTATTCAATTTATACGGGCTCAATCATATAGCTGACACTTCGCGTTCAAAATTGTCATTATCTCTCTGTTCACACACGAGTGCAAGTATACGCAGACACGCGCTCCGTAGATTGTTCGCCCTCCTACTCCATCTTCGGCTGATGCCCCTCCTGCCTGGTCTGCTTGCGAATCGCCCTCACGCGCAAAGTTCGCTCTTCCTACCTCTCCCCTCTTGAGATCGCAGCCACTCCGCCCCGCATCCATGAGTGCCCAAGAGGCCAATGACCCACTACACGTGGACGCCTTTCCGTGCGCACTCTAATCCTGGTGCGAAAATACGCACGCGTGTGGGCGCTCAGGCTATCGTGTGCACAACGTTGACCGTAAAAGTAATACAAGGGAGGAAAAGCACTCAGGAAGTGGCTCGTATTTGCGTATCATTTGAGGTCGACGACCAAGTTACAAAGCTAACGATAATTTAATTTATTATTTGAATTACTTGATGGAAGG